TGGCGGGTTGGCGGGCCTGTGCTCTTGCAGAGCGGCCAGAGAAGGGACCACATGCGTGGGCAGCGCGGCCCACCGGCAGCCCGAGAGGACGGGGCCTCAGGCCTCAGGTCTGTGTGTGGCCAATGTGGCGGGTGCTGAGGTGGCGGGCGGGGCTCCGGGAGGGGTGGGTGGGGCCTTCCGGTGACAGGCCTGTGAGCACCGGGCCGGGCAGCCACAGGAGGTCTCGAGTGGCCCGGCTGTTGGCGGCCCTGGAGTGAGCCTCCGAACGTCGCGTGCTGTTCGGCCGGCACCTGGGCCGGTCCCTCGGCCGCGTCTGTCTGGTCGGGGGCGAAGACCAGGTCCAGACAGTCAGTCGGAAGCCCCCCGACCCGGGGCCAAGTGCCTCTGCAGTGTTAGTGAGTCAGAGGATGGGTTCTGGACCCAGAGACCCAGCTCGGGGCGGGCCGTCCACAGGCCCCGCCACCCCCGCCGGCCTCGAGGCCTCTCCAGAGCAGAGCCCGGCAGACCAGCGATCCCAGCGGGGACGCATGGACTCCTGCTGGCCCTCCCCGCCCACGGTCTCCGTGAGGCTTCACCGAGCCCCGTTTAGAGCCCCAAATGCAAGGCAGAGACGGACAGGGCTGCTCTGGGGCCAAGGGGCCAGCCACACAGCCACCCGCCCGGCCCGTGCAGAGCCAGCCTGCAGTCGAGGGAGTCGAGGACAAGAGTACTGAGGCCCGGGGGAGGGACTGTGGCCGCAGCGGGCCCTCTCGGGGCCACTGGGTCGGGGGAGACGCTACTCCCAGGAGACCCCAGAGAGCAGTGGGGGAAGCCAGGGTGGGGCTGCTTTGTGACGGCGGCAACTGACCCTCCCGTTCAGGGTCCTGAGCCGCCAGACCTGCCGCTTGCTGAACTCCTGGTCTCCCTGTGTCTTGCAGAACATGCCGCGTCTGTCCCCGAGACCGCCCGGGAAAGCAAGCCGCGTGGGCTTTGGAGAACCCTCCAGACTCGAGGCCCAGGGAGCCGGGCGGGGAGGTGCTCACTCCCGTCAGCAGCAGCCCAGGAGGTGGGTGGCCGGGCAGGAAGGGGCTGAGACTGGCCCTTTCGGGACCCCCAGCACAACCCCGCTTTGCTTGGTCCCACTTGGCAGCCAGGCCCCGCCTGCCCAGAGTCCCCGGGTTGGGGCACTCAACCTGGCCCCCAAACATGGTGGGGAGGGACCCTCCCAGGCCCAGGATCCAGGAGTCAAGCAGAGGACCCCGGGGCCCGGTGACAGCACCCAGAGCCATTGCCCAAGGGATGGGCCACCACCTGGCCCCGCCGCTGCCCTCCTTCCTAGACGGGCCGGGGGAGGTGTCCTGCGTCAAGGTCTTGAGTGAGGTGCCTGCTGTCACCAGGTCTTAGGACAGGGCGGACCGATAAGCCAGCAGGGTACAAATGAGGGGCGGTTCGCACCCCACACACACCCAGGGCCTCCACCCCAGGGTTCCACTCCATCTCTCCTCTCCTCCAAGGTCTCCTCCTCCCTTCTCGGAACACGTTCCCCAGTGAGACCGGAAGCCGCGGTGACTGTTCTGCCTCTCAGGTCAGTGCAGTGTTTGAACGTTGGTGGAATCGGGCTACTGGTTCCCCTCCTTCCTGGCAACCGCCCTTCAGCTGGGCATGCCTGCAACTGGACACGCGTGTTGCATAGCACCAAACGTGCACAGCGGGCATCTGGATGGGCCCCAGAGCCATGCGGTGTCGCTCGCCAACTCACAGAGGGCCCGGCTGGGTCTGCTCCCGGCCCCTTCTCCCTGCACGCCGGCCACTGCTGCAGCTGAGGATCCGGGTCTGAGCAGCCGGGGGCCTGCCCAGGTCTCACCCGGGAAGTTCGACAGGAACATCTTTTGAGCTCCCTCCTGCACACCAAATGAGTGAAGTTCCTGTTTAGCAAGGGCCACCGCTTGAGGGGTCTGAGACGGGAGAGACTGAGGAGGAGAGATGGCAGTGAAGCCCTGGGGTGGAGCCCTGGGTGTGTGGGGGTGCGCACGCCCCTCATTTGTACCCTGCTGGCTTCGGTCCGCCCTGTCCTAAGACCTAGGTGACAGCAGGCACCTCACTCAAGACCTCGGACGCAGGACACCTCCCCGGCCGTCAGATGGCAGAGAGCAGCAGGGCCGGGCCAGGTGTGGCCATCCTTGGCATGGCTCTGGGGTGCTGGTCACCGGGCCCCGGGGTCCTCTGCTTGACTCCTGGATCCTGGGCCTGGGGAGGGTCCCTCCCACCTGTTGGGGCCAGGTTGAGTGCCCCCAACCCGGGGACTCTGGGCAGGCGGGGCCTGGCTGCAAGTGGGCCAGCAAAAGGGGGCTTGGTGCTGGGGTCCCCGAAAGGCCGGTACACAGCCCCCCTGCCGGCCACCCACCTCCTGGGCTGCTGCTGACGGAGTGAGCACCTCCCCGCCCGGCTCCCTGGGCCTCGAAGTCCTGGAGGGTTCTCCAAAGGCCCACGACGGGCTCTGCTTTCCGGGCGTGCTCGGGACAGACGTGGCATGTTCTGCAAGACACAGGGAGACCAAGGAGTCACGCGCGGCAGGTCTGCGGCTCAGGACCCTGAGACGGGGAGGGTCAGTGCGGCCCCTCCCTTGCATGACCCCTCACAGCCACCTGCAGACCACCTGCCCGCCCAGCTCTGTAGCCAAGTGCGGAGAGCCCACAAGAACTTTACTCGTGGGGCAAAGGACCGTTAGAGACTTCGCCTCGGTTCTGCCGACTCCACAGCTCAGAAGCAAACCCAACCGCTGGCTCCCGTGGTAGGCGCAACCGGGGCCTGGAACCCTCGGCGCCTGGGAGGAAGGGCCGGCAGGGCTCAGGTGCCTGCTCCCGACAGAGCATGTTCGCCCCGTCTTGGTGCTCAGGGAAGCCCCCGTCCCCCTCGCTCCAGCCCTGCCTTGGAGCCCACTTCACGGGGCCCGGAATGTTCTCCTCTTCAAAGACCTAAATCCTCCCCATCCTTTAGGTCACCTCCTGCAGGGAGCCCTCCTGGGTTGAGGATCTCCCTAGCGCTAGCAGTAGGCTTGGGAGTCCCTGGAAGTCAGTCACAGACACTTGCCTGCACGTCTCGCCCGAGGCCAGGGAACTCCGGGGCAGGACTGTCTTCATGTGGCGAGTGTCCTTGGCACTCAGGCCACCAGGACGACGACGGGAAGTGCCCCACTCACCCGCGCTCACTCCTCAGACAATGCCCAATACCGGACGGAGGCCTCCAGAGCCTGCCATTTCTCCCCGCACCGGCAGAGCTCACCTGAGGCCCAGGTGTCCTGGCTTCCACGGAGCCCGGCTGCGAGAACACATCAGCGGCCAGGTGGCCCGTGTGGCCTTCCCCCAACCCTGTCACTTAGAGGACCGGGAGCCACTCTCCCAGACGGGCCGAGAGCTGTCGGGGTGCTGGGCAGGGAGTGGGTGATGCCAATTAGCTCTCGGCAACATCTCAGCCTCCTGTGGTCAGTTTCCAAGACCTCCCAGCCTGGGGGGGGGGGCCCGCTGGCCGCTGCCCGTGGCTGTGCTTGGCTGTCACCCCAGCTCTGAACAGGGAGGGAGCCCTGGAGCCTGGCACACGCGGATTTCTATTAGTGGCAACGTCTGCACCCACAGAGGCTGTGAGGGGTCCCACAGAAGCTGCAGGTGATGGAGCGGCAGGGTCAGCCCAGGCCTGGTGCTGACCACTCTCAATAAGCCTGTGGGCCCTCTGTCCTGGAGCCCATCACTGTCCTGATGTGGACAGGGAGCGGCCCCAAAGGGACTGCCCTGAAGCCACACAGCCCCCGCCTGCGTGCCT